GGAAGGCTGCAACAGTCACAAGTCTGGAAAACGATCATAAGTCACTTTTTTTTTAGTGTAACTTTGGTCACTAAATGAATGCTTGTAAGTTGGGGACTCTCTGTATCTTGCTCAGCCATTCAAGGAACCGCTGGATGTTTTGCCTGTTCCAGCTTTGTGATACCCTCCAACTCCTTTTGATGCCAGCTAACTTAAGTTAATAAACAAGAATGCTGGGAATGGTGGTCCTAAAAAAACAAAACAGCTTTGGAAAGACCAGGCCATAAAGATCTGGGTTCAAATGCAACTATCCCTAAGAAGGTTGTTGCAAAAGGTCAGGCACAAAGGCCTGTTTTCATTCCCTCTGGGATGCCCCTGGCTCCTTTCTCTAGCTTGTTGTTTTCAAAATCAAATAAATAAAAAAACAAACCTCTCCTAAAACGCAAACTTGACAACACCGAGCTGCAAATTGCTTGTGACGGCAAATGCCAAGCGCACGCCGGCATATACCGGCACCCATCAAATCACCCGCGTTAATGAGAGATGGGGAGAGGCATTTTTTGGGCACGTTTTTTTTTTTTTTCAAATCGACTTTGCCGCGTGCTAAACGCCATCTCCCCGAGAGCCTGCTCACGTTATCTCGGTTTGTGAAGTGTCTGGGTACCGAGTGAAGCATTTAATAAAATTACACTTCACGGGAGGTGAGACCAGCACCTTGGGTCCCAGGCCCTGATTATGCAAAGCGATGTTTAGCGGATAAATATTAGCTAGCCTGGAGCAATTTTTTCTCTCCCCCCCCCACCCTCCTTCTCCCAGCTTGTTTGTGTGTTTTCCCCGCTAAGGGAAAATAAATAGATATTTATTGTGATTTTTATTATCGCCTGTTCACCGGCCTGAATCCCGTAAGGGAGATAGGGCGGTATATAAATTTAATTAAAATAAATAAATAAAACAAGGCGCCCGCCAGCCCAGCCTCTTCTCCTTCCAATAGATTCCCATCTTCACCCACATTATTTTGGGGTGCTGCCTACATCCTGAAGTCCAAATCAGTGGCTCAGCAAGCAGTGAATGGGTGCCTGCCTTTAGATCAGTATTTCTCCAAATCTTGGCCACTTTTAAGACGGGTGGACTTTCACGCTGGCTGGGGAATTCTGGGAGTTGAAGTCCACAAATCTTAAAGTTTGCTAAATTTGGAGACTCCTGATTCAGCTCATGCTTATCCCCAAAAGGTTCTTTTACTAAAAGGCAACTGGTTTGTTTTTTTTTCCCCTTTAAAAACCTTTGGCTTCTTATGCAAGATCTCCTTGTTGTTAACGCTCTGCGGGTTGGGAGCTAAGGAGAGCTAACGATCAGAGGACTGCAAAGAATATAAACCCTTCCATTCTCCACCAGTCCGTTAGAAGCGAAGAAGTTTCTTGGAGGAGAAGCGAAACGTTTTCAAAGAAAAAAACAACAACAGCAAGAAGAAAAGTCCAGTTGTCTTTGGAAATTGCAGAAGGAACATCCCGTATTATATAAGCTACCAGGAGCACATCGGAGTCCTCCTAAGACTCTCCAAAACTTGCTGGCTGGAGAATTCTGGGCGTTGAAGTCCACAAGTTGCCAAGTTTGGGCTTTTCCTCTCTTCCCTTCCACGTCACTTTAATTTTTTTTTCATACGCCGCTTAACGTTTTTGTTGTGGTGTTTTTTCCCTCTCTCTCCAGAACAAGTGTTATTATTTGGGAATATCAGCCTGTCATCAAAGGGAAGGGAATTCTCCGGAGGGGGTAATTTTTTTTCCCTCCAACCCAGATTTTACTGCCTCTCAGTCCCCACTTAGCTAGTTAAGTCCACTGACTGCCACTCGTGGAAATTTAAAAGAGGATTGAAAATTGGCAGCCTTGTCTTCATTCAAGGATGTTCCCTCCTGCCCCTCCCACAATAATGCGTGCAAGGCTGTGTGTTTAAACAACACCTGAATTGATTTTAATTTGTTAGGGGAGTGCAGATGATTTTAGATCCACCTTTGGCAACCTGGTGAGATGCCGCCATCCACGGACACGGCGTCCACGCCACGGGAAGGCTGACGGGACTTCCCCCCCCCCAAATCTGCCTGGAAACTCATTGTGTATCTCATTTCCAGTACAAATAGGAGCGAATCAAGCCTTTGGCAGGATTTTTGCCCAGCACTTGGCTGGAAACTGGATCACAGTCTCTCCTTTCTATGGGGCCTTTGATTTCCATGGGAATCCTTGGGGTTTTTCTCTGCCAAGTCTCATTTAGGCATTGCATTTTTTTTTTCTGAGTGGGAGAGGGGAGAGATGGCGAAAGGATCCCTTTTCATCGAGACTGCAGTGGTCATTTGACTTTCCTCCTGAATCTCCACTCTCTCCTTTCTACCCCACTGCAGTCTCTACCAGCCTCTCCTAACTTCTGGATAGGTTGGGCTACCTCTCCAGAATTTGGCCAGGAGAGCTGGGTGTGCTAAGTCCTGTCTCAAACACCTGAAGATACTACAGGCAGTCCTCGGCTTAACAATCGTTCATTTAGTCACTGTTCGAAGTTACAATGGCATTTTTCACACTTACGACCGTTTCAGCATTCCCACAATGACCCGATCAGAATTCAGACACCTGGCTCCTATTTATGACGGTTGCAGTGTCCGTGTGTGTGTGTGTGTGTGTGTGTGTGTGTCAGGTGATCCTCTTTTGCACCCTCCTGACAAGCAAAGTCAAGGGGGAAGCTAGATTCAGCTCACAACCGTGTCACTAACTTTAACACCTGCAACGTTTCACTTAACAACTGGGGCAAGAAAGGCTGTAAAATGGAGCAAAACTCGCTCAGCAACAGAAATTTTGCGTTCAATGGTGGCCGTAGGTGGAGGACTCCCTGAAGGTCGGGAAAGACCATCTCGGGGCTTAGTCAGAACCAGGGTCAGATCCTACAGTGACTCAGAGCAGTAGTCCATCAACCAGTTGTAGCCTTGGCTCTGCACACTCTTCTTTGTTGTTCTTGGGCACCTCTGCACAAATAAAACCTTCCCCCCAGCAATGCTAGAAGACCTAACTTGAGTCTTGCATGTGGGCATTCTCGGAGGTCAGCCCATCAATGGTGCCCAAAATCCACCAGGTCAAGCCGACGTTCCAAGTGTTTTGTCCTGCTTCAGTGGCCACTTTGTCTAAAATGGTACCGGGTCCAAGGTCCCCTCCAACTCTTGTTATTCCGTTAACTGTTTACAGATAACCCTGAATCGTGGGTTTGTTCTGAGTCAGTTGCTCTCAACTTCGCCAACTCCACCACGATCCTCAGTCTGTTCTTCTTCTCCTCCACCGCAACTGCGTTATGAAGCAGCTTTGCTCCCCCCCCCATCCCTCCAAGAGAGCCAGCTGTTTTGAACCTTAACTTTTCAGCCTCCTGATCATCTGGAGGACCTGGCTTTGGCTACAGTAATTCTGCAACTTTTGAGCCCCTGGAGAGAAACAAGCCCTGTGCCCAAATTGGGGACTACAATTGAGAAAATGGCAGCCACGTGGGGTTGCCACTTGCCTGAAGTGCCACAGGCGATCTGCTCATCCTCCTCACACGAGAACACAACGGCAGGAAGATCTTGGAAGGAGAAAGAAGCTGTACGTTTGATTTGACGAGCCACCAGTTGGATGGAAGAGACCGGGCGGGACCTTGCATTGAGGTGACAGGGAGACCGTGGCACCTATCAGGATCCCCAGATCCCCCCCAAATTAGCAAATACTGAGGTTAAGAGAGAGACAGAACTTTTGAACCACCTTGGGAAATTACAATGAAAACAACCGAGCTGATGCCAAAGGCTCGGACCACAACAATCACACTTTCTCTCTCCCCTTCCTTAACATCTCAAAAACCATTCACGTGTGAACCTGAGATTCGTTGGGAATTCAGAGCCCCCTCCCTCCCCCCCACCATGGAAGGTTTGATTATCTTGCTGGTTGGAAGACGCTGCTGGCCTGTCCCATCTTCACACGTCAGTTTCTTGTTTTCGTTTGTTTGTTTGTTTGTTTTGCTAAAAAGGCAAGAGCTACATGGTGAGTTTATTCCTACGAAGAGAATCGTCTCGAATGATAGCTGGGTGAAGAGGAGGTAACGATGGAGAGCTTTATCACCGAGGCTGCGTTGACCAGAAGACCACAGAAGATTCTCGAGTTGTGACAAAGACCGACTTTTCAGAACGCCCCCCCTCCAAAGAAAAACGGGGGGGGGAACCCTCCCCTGAACCGCATTGTTCAATTTTGCACGATAAATCCAGAACCTGTAAGGAAAGCAGAATTACGGGGTGCAAAACCAAAAATGATCTCCCCACGCATCCTCCAGGACAGTTGACAGTTTAGCCATCACGACAAGGGTGTCAATTTTTCTTTCTTTTTTTTATATAATCTAACCCCTGAACAAAATAGAAGATTTATACAGGAAGAAAGATAAACAGGTAGCATTTTTTTTTTTTGATTCTCAGTGTCATTTCCTCTAGATCTTCCCCTGTTCCCTTCTATCCCCTTGCAGGGGGGAAAAAAAAACAAAAAAACCCACCGCAAGCCCAATAAAACCGAACGTTCATTCACAATTGTTCCTCCCGACCGCTCCTTTTTTTGTTTTTTTGTTTTTGTTTTAAATCTGGCATATTAAATATAAATTATGTCTTTTGTCAACCCTCCGTATCTACTTTTCAAAACTTCGTTGTGTACGCTGTGTGGGCTTTCTCGCTCTTCCCCTCCCCTACAAAAGAGGTTGGTTTGTAAAATTCGCTTCCCTTGCCCTCCCCTTCGGTTCTAGCTGGTTCTGCTCTGAAAATATAAGTCTGCATTTGGCCGTTTCTCTTCCTTCTCGGCCAACCCCCCCCCCCCGGAAAACCACCCATCCAAAGAACCGATCCAAGCCCAAACCTGTGTGCGGTGTGCGTGTGTTTGTGAGAGAGAGGTTGGGGAGGGGGTAAAAATGGGAGAGTGTGGAGTGTGGGCACGGGGGGGGGGGGAGGGCGGCACGATGCATCTGGAAGGAGGGGAAAAACTTTGCATCATGTATAGGCGTAGTCTACGTCTGGGATGCCCCCTTCTCTGTATCCCCGAGTTGTACCGTAGCCAATTGTGTGGGTACTTTTGTAAAGGCTGGTTCCATTGGAAGGGAATATGGTGTGGATGACGTATTCTTCCTTCGCCCGGTGAGGATTGATGGGGATCATTTGCAAGCCGGGCCCTCGGATTTCCAAGATGGAGTTGTCTTTCTTGGTGCCCGACTCCATGTAGTCGTCCTTCTTCCGGCTGCCTCGCTCGCGCGTCAGCAGCTCACCGGTCCGGTGGACGTACCAGCAAATGGCAGCCATGACCAGAAAGAGGAAGACCAAGGCCACCGCCCCGCCGATGATCCCCGCCAGGGGCAGCCCAGCCATGGGGTCGAGGTTCTGCTCGTGGTTGAGGGTGGTAGTGGGACTGTACATGTCGGCGGTCTCGGCTTTGGCGCACACGGGGCTCTCGTCCGGGATGTAGGTGTTGCCTGTCTCCATGGTGACCATGCAGATGATGTAAGTGGACTTGGGCTCCAGGGCAGTCAGGAGGTACTCGGTCTTGTCGCCTTGCACCAGCGTCTCAGTGATGGAGCCGACGGCCGGGCTGTGGCCCAGGCGCAACCAGCTCAGGCGGAAGGAGGCTGCCGGGAGGGATGCCTTCCAGCTGATGCGGATGCTGTTGGCCGTCAGCGGCTTGACGTTCAGCACCAGCGTCTTGGCTCCCGATCCGGTGGCCATTGGATAGTCAATGTTGGAATCGGGCAGCTGGATACCCGGGCGTTTGGCTTTGAGGGTGAAGAGGGAGCCTTGCGGGGTGGTGACGGCGGCGTTGCTGGCCGTCGTCTTGGCCGCCACCGCTGAGTTGCTTTGCTGGCCAACATCAAAGCACTCGTCCATCTCATTGGTGATGTCTTTGATGGCCATCCCTCTGACCCGGTCAGGCCCTTGGCACATCAGTCCTCTGACGTTGACCACTGCAGCTCGGGCCTTGACCCAGTCCCTCAGCCACATGAGGTTGCAGCCGCAGTACCACGGGTTGTTCCTCAGCAGGAGTTGGGAAAGGCCGTCCAGGTCATCGAAGAGGCCCTTGGGCAGGGTGGTCAGGTTGTTGTTGGACAGGTCGAGCTTCTCTAGCTCCCTCATCTTGGACAGGGTGTTGTACGGGATGTGGCTGATGGCATTGTCCTGAAGGTACAGCTTCTGCAGGTGGGCGCTGGGCAGGTTGAGCGGCGGGGCCGCCAGGGAGTTGCGCACCAGCGAGAGCTCGCTGAGGTTCTGCAGGCGGCTGAAAGTGTCGTCCGCGATGCGCTGGTTGGCGAGCAGGTTGCCATCCAGCACCAAACGCCGCAAGCTGTTGAGGCCTTTGAAGGCGTGGAGGGGAATGGTGGAGATGCGGTTGTCATCCAGGCGAAGCTCCTCCAGAGTGCGGGGCAGCCCGGACGGGATGCTGCTGAGATGGTTGCGGGAGAGAAAAAGCAGCTTGAGGCGAGTGCTGTCGGCGAAGGCGTCGTCCTCAATGCTGACGGTGGAGACCGAGTTGTCGTCCAAGTGCAGCTTCTCCAGCAGAGGGATCCTGGCCAGGGAGTCCCGGGCGATGGTGCGGACGTTGTTGTCCTGCAGATGCAGCTCCTTCAGCGAGCGGGGCAGGTTGATGGGGAATTCGTCCAGATCATTTTCGTAGAGGTAGATGACCTGCCGGGAATCAGAGGAATCCGACATTCAGCAGGGCGGAAAGGGAGGAGATTACACGGTACTTAATTTAGAAAACTCGACAGCGTTCCTGAGCTTAGAACTAAGCGAGGTTCTAGATCAGGGGTGTCAAACTGCCAGCCCGCGGCCTGGACGCGTCACGAGGAAACTGCGCCCACCCCATTGTCGGCAATGGGGGGAAAGTTCCGATACGGCATCACGTGACGTCGCGAGTTTGACATGTCTGTTCTAGATGGTCCAAAGCTAACCTTGTTTCTAGAAGTAAAATTTGGGGAGGACAGGATGGAAGGTGGTTAGCATTCTGTCTCGCCACTCTTGAGAACTGCTTCCTGATTGTTAGTCCATTATTAATCTTGGTGTTAGTCACTGCTTGTGAGATTAACATACCCCAATAAAATACTACAGATATCCCAATCAAGAAACTACCAATTCAGTCAAACAAGCTAACAATAAATAGCCTAATCATGGGACCACCAAGAACCCACCCCCAACACCTCTGATAGGGCAAGCCACTAGTATATAATAAAACGAGAGCGAACCCCACTCCATTCAGCATGATGATGTTACCTAGTTGGGTCGTGAAATGTCTGCAAGAAATCTACCAAGCTCAGAGAGCACCAAGGACCCCACCGTCCTCCTCCTCCTTCTCTTCACAAACCCCACTCACTTCCAGCACTGATAAGGTTACCTAGTTGGGTCATGAAAGGTCCGCAAAAAATCCACCAAGCTCAGAGAGCCCAAGGATCCCTTGGAAACCTAAGCATAATTGGTCCCTCACCTCCTTCTCCATCTCCTCTCCTCCGGCTCACCTGAACGTTGAGTTTCTTCTTCAAACTAGAAGGGATTCCCGCATTGTTGATCTGGTTATTCTGCAGATAGAGGGTGGTGGCATCGTCCGGGATGTCAGCCGGGATGGAGGTGAGGCCCCGGTCGTTGCAGTAAATGAAGCCGTTGTCACACCGGCAGACCGAGGGGCAGGTCGTGCTGTCGATCACCTCACTCAGAAAGGCCACCAGCCCGTAGCAGAGGAAGATCCAGTCGCGCAAGTCCATAGCGGCCGCCGTGGTCACCACAGTGGCGGTCACCACGGCGGCTGTTGGCGACGCCGTCGCCATGGCGCCCGGTGCCTTTGGCCGTCCCAGGTTGAAGCCTTTTGGACCTGCAGAAGGGGTCAAGTTTGTATATATTTAGCCCAGAGCCGTGGTGAGAATGCAGCACTGCAGGCTAACTCTGCCGACTGCCGGCAGTTCGATCCCGACCTGCTCAAGGTTGATTCAGCCTTCCCTCCTCCTTCCAAGGTCGGTAAAAAATGAGGACCCAGATTGTTGGGGGGACAAAATGCTGACTCTGTAAGCCACTGAGAGAAGGGTGTAAAGCCCTGTGAAGTGGCATATAAGTCTAAGTGCTTATTGCCATTGCTAGATTATCTTTGGGAGATCTCAGGGAAGATGGAAAATGAAAATATATAATGATGCTCTTCATCGTTCGGCTAAATGTCTGAATCCTCTGGCTGGGTTCATACATTGGGCTACGGCACCCTGTGGTTGGGGGAACCCAAGATAAGAAGCAGACCCCCATTTCAGAATCTCCAGTAAACCCTGATTAAGTCAGGTCAGCTCCAAGCCTCTGTACGAGCTGAAAAACATGGCTGTGCCTGTTGGCTTGGGGTGTCAATGGAGGGGCTTCCCGCTGGGACTGATTGACGGATTAACAACAGACCCCACCCTCTCCCCCCTATCTTTGCAGCTAAGTCGATTTGATAGCCTTGTATTTATATTACAAATTACAGCGGTTTTATCTTTGGATATAAATGTAAGCCTCCCCGAGTCACCCTGCAGCAAGACGGGCAGCTAATAAATTTTACCAATTAATCAATTAAACCGGCTCTTTCCCTCAACAAATGCAGTCAAATGAAGACTGAATCCAGCCAGAGTGCAGCCCCCTTCCCCTCCCCACCCCCACCCCCCTAAAGCATTCAGATTTTTTTTCCCTGCTTGCTGGGATCGCCTTTGACAGGCAGAATCTCCATTTTGCTGCTGGTTCAGAGGCGGTTGATTCGGTAAACACACGCAACCCGCAACCAGATAATAGGCATAATTGGAACCTGCATCCTCTCTGCCTGCCGTCTTGCTCACCTCTGCTCAATGCCTGACCTCCCAGGGACCCCCCCCAAACACCCTTTTAAGGCAATTTTATCCCCAGGGTCACTAGGAAGGAAGGAAGGAAGGAAGGAAGGAAGGAAGGAAGGAAGGAAGGAAGGAAGGAAGGAAAGCTGTAGGTCCTGGCTGATGAAAACAGTAGCCTTCGATTTACAAGGATAATTGAAGCCCCCAAATCTCCCATTGCTAACCGAGACAGTCGCTGAGGCAGCTTTGGCCCATTTTATGACCTCCCTGGTCACGCATCATTAAGCAAATCCCTGCAGTTGTTAAGTGAGTAACCCGGTTGTTAAGTGGATCCCCCCCACTGACGTTGCTTGTCAGAAAGTCACCATAGGGGATCACATGACTCCGGGGCGCTGCCATCGTCGCAAAGATGAGCCCGTTGCTGAAGTGCCTAAATTCTGACCTCTTAGCCAGGGGGATGCTGCAGCGGTCCTAAGTGTGAATTCTATTTTCAGTGCCGTCGTGACTTCGGTCGCTAAACGAACTGTTGTAAGTGGAGGACCATCTGTAAGTGGAAAACCAAAAACCCTCCCGACCAATGAATGCTCAGGGTGGTTTTCCTAGCTACTGTTTGGACAAGGAATCTTTACTGTTTGTATAAGGAATCTTTACGCGGCCAACTTAAGCATCAAAAATGATGCAAAGTCGCTTTCTTCAGGGCCATTGTAACTTCGAACGGTCCCTAAACAAACAGTTGCAAGTCGAGGACTACCTTATTTAGGCTTTTACCCTCTTTCTCCTTAATTTTCAGCCGGTTTCCCAAGCTCCTGCCCTGGCCTTTCTCGGCTCCATCCTCCCAGCGTTCATGTCTGCTGCCGCTTATGCAAGCTGGCCTCTGTTGGAAAACTGACAGCTCTTTTTCCGGGATTTTAAGCTTTACAAGGTTCCTGTGCATCCCTTTTAACCTCAGCTGAGTTAAATTCTTCCCGGCGTTATATTTTTTTTACAAGGCTCTTTTCATGGAAGATTTGAGTCGGCGAGCTGTCTTGCCTGGGCCCCGTGCCTATTAAATCGCTTCCTCGCCTTGACTTCATTATGCGTACAATTTCTCCATCGTATGCACCCTTTTTTTTCCTTTCCTTCCCCGTCTCTTTTTCTTCCCTGCCCCACATCTCCTCTGCCCCCCACCCACCAGCATTTTTCTACCTGCCACTTGCTGCCGCCGCTGCTTTTTTTGGGGGGTGGGTGGGTGACTTTATCCACCCTGGCCTATAAATCCGTTACGGTCCGATATTTTGCGGCGTCAAATGAAAAAGAGACTCAACCAGGCGTGGTTTTTCCATCTCTGGGTAACCGCTGCGGCGGATCCAGCCACAATCAGCCCCCCTGTGAGATGACTTCAAAACTTCCCAAATTGCCGTAAATCAGCCTTATCTCCCCACCACCACCCTCCATTTTTTTATTTTATTTTTGATCACCGCTATTCAGATTGTATCTTTCAGAATTTCAGACCTGGGGCGTTTGACAGACACAAGCGGTCTGGGTTCCCAAAGCAGGTTGAGAAGGATTGCAATTATTCCGGGTTCTCGGTTTGAATAATAAGTACGAATCAGGCTGCATTCTACATTAAAACACACCCGGTGCTTCTCCTTCCTTCCCCCCTCCCTTAAAACTAACCGAGCTTTGCCTATTGTTCAGAAGGCGCTTCTTAAGCCTTGTAACTGACCTTGTTTAGAGTGATGTACGAACCAGGCTTCTTCCCGTTGTTTTTTCCGAAGCCAGGGAGAAGCAAAGAAGCGTTTAAATTGTCATTTTAAATTTTAAATGGTTTTCCTGCGCGTGGTGCCTCCTGGTTTGGCCCCTCCAAATAACGGGCGCTCCAACGATTGCAGGCCTGTCTGTTCAGGATAATTATCCGCTAAGAAAATATACAGGTAGTCCTTAACTTACGACCCTCATTTCCTTTGCTAAGCCAGGCAGTTATTAAGGGAGCCATGGTCTGATTTTAGAGCCTCTTTTTGCCATTAACGAATCTGTCGTTAAGTGGATCATATAATCATTAAACGAATCTGACTTCCCCCCCCCCATTGAATTTGCTGGCTGAAAGCCAGTTGGGAAGGTCACAGATGGCCCTCACATGATCCCAGGACTGTGAGTTGCTAAACACCCCCCCCCCACACACACACACACAAATTTTGATCACGTGACATGGGAGTGCGAGGACTGGTTGTCTCTTTTCCCCCCCAGTGTCGTCGTAATTTCGAATGGTCGCTAAATGAACGGTTGCTAAGCCGAGGACTACCTGTATGCCGGGGTCCTTCCCTTCCCCTATCCCCAGTCAGAAACATTGCTGACTCAAGATATAATGCCATTTTGCAATGGTGGAGGAATCCGGCTACTCTTCTGGTATGGGTCAGTGGCACATAAATAAACAGCCTTGGACCGGGTCCTCCCCTCCCATCAGCGATAGTGAAAAATAATAATAATAATAGTAAAGTTGGAAGGGACCTTGGAGGTCATCTAGTCCAACCCCCTGCTCAGGCAGGAAACCCTATACCATTTCGGACAAATGGCTGTCCAATCTCTTCTTAAAAACCTCTAGTAATGGAGCACCCACAACTTCTGGAGGCAGGTTGTTCCACTGGTTAATTGTTCTCACTGTGAGGAAGTTTCTCCTTAGTTCTAGGTTGCTTCTCTCCTTGATTAGTTTCCACCCGTTGCTTCTTGTCCTGCCTTCAGGCGCTTTGGAGAATAGCTTGACTCCCTCTTCTTTGGGGCAGCCCCTGAGATACTGGAAGACTGCTATCATGTCCCCCCTCGTCCTTCTCTTCATTAAACCAGACATCCCCAATTCCAGCAGCCTTTCCTTAAATGAATGAGGAAGGGGATATTATTCCACCCACCGGTGAACATGACAGCGAGTCTGTATTGCTTTAAGCAGACTACAGGTGGTCCTCAGCTTACAACGGTTTAGTGACTGTTCCAAGTTACAACGGCACTGAAAACAATGACTCGTAGCCCCTTTTTCACACTTATGACCGTTGCAGCATCCCCAACAGTCGTGTGATCAAAATTCGGACGCTTGGCAACCGACTCACCTTTACGACAGTCGCAAGTCACGTGATCCCCTTTTGCGACCTTCTGACAACCTCAAGGGGGAAGTCAGATTCGCTTAACAACCAAGTTACTAACTGCAGGGGATCTCCTTAACTGGGGCCAGAGTGGTTGTCAAAACAGGGCAAAGCTCACTTCACCGTCTTGCTTAACGACGGAAATTCTGGTCCACCAGGTCCAAAGGCTCCCTGTAAGTCAAAACCAGAATGTTCCTCTTTGCCTGACTTTCGCTCTTTGCGGCCGCAGCCCTGAGCCTCAGTCGTAAGCCGAGGACTTGCCTATTGGTGAGAAAGGAGTGCAACGGATGGAAACTAACCAAGGAGAGAAGCCACCTAGAACTAAGGAGAAACTTCCTGACAGTGAGAACAATTAACCAGTGGAACAACCTGCCTCCAGAAGCAGTGAATGCTCCAACACTGGAAGTTTTTAAGAAGAGGCTGGACAGCCATTTGTCCAAAATGGTGTAGGGTTTCCTGCCTGAGCAGGGGGTTGGACTAGATGATCTCCAAGGTCCCTTCCAACTTTTTAAAATTATTATTATTATAAATGCCACCCCTAAATTTTTTTAAAAAAGAACAAAATTCAAGGGGAAAGGCAAGCACACCGCTGCTCTCGCCCGCCCGCTCCTCCATCAACCTCTGGGGAATTAATCGGTACGAAGTTCTCTTCCACAACGGGTGCCAATTATGCAGCGAGAGTTTTTGAGCTGATGAAAACTAGCAAACTGCCTGTTGCTAAGGTGGGGGGGGGAGGAAACGTGTGATGGTGGTGCGTAACCGCCTTCTGGGGGGGGCTGACATCTCGTGTGTGGCCCTCAAAGCGCATGGGTTGCGCCCCTTGATGCGATCCCCATTAAGGGGGTCGGAATCCAATCCACGGAGCTTGCCATCTGCGGA